ATCATGTCCCATATCCCTGTTTATTGTGTTCTCTAAAATGTCCATCGAAGAGTTTTTTTTTTTAAAAACTATCAATACTTCTCACTGACACCACCAATTGTGGAAGGGAGTTCCACATCCTGACTACCCTGACAGTGGAAAAAACCTCTTATGCATTTTAAGGTTAAACCGCTTCTCCTCCAATTTCATTGAGTGGCCCCGTGTCTTCTTATACTCTCTGAGACTGAGCAGTTTATTCCCTATGCTAGAATCACCATTGAGGTATTTGTGTATATTGCTATCATATCTGCTCTCAAGCATCTCTTCTCCAGGGAGAATAAGTTTAATGTTTGTAGTTGTTCCTCGTAACTGAGGTCCTCCAGTCCCCTTATTAAGTGTGTTGGCCTTCCCTGGACTCTCTCCAGTTCCAGCGCATCCTTCCTGAGTGACCAGAACTGGGTGGCATATTCAAGATGTGGCCCTACTTGCATGACCCTATCGTTCCAAGAGTCAATGCCATCTGTGTTTTGCAATGGGTGCACAACCTTACCAGTTTGTTGCCCCTACGTTTGGTTGGTCTGCTGCACCTCAAGTCTTCACCAAAGTGGTAGTCTCTATAATTGCTTTGCTTCATTTACAGGGCATGCCCATTGTGAGATGCCTAGATGACCTTTATATGAGGGAACGTTTGGTACAGACTTTACTAGCCTATGTCCAACAGAATGTTCAAACTCTGTAGAAGTCCGGATGGCTCCTGAACCCCTAGAAGTCAGGGCTGAAACCAATCCATTACTTGAAATATCTAAACCTTATCCTGGATATTGCTTTGTCCAGGGTTGTTCTACCACAAGAAAAACACCAAACTCTCTGCTCCCGTATTCAGACTCTATAGTCCAATAGCCAACCAACCCTCCACTTTTTTTCATGAGGATTCTGGGCTTAATAGCAGTCTTGTTCTGTATGCCTAATACCACTCCAGGCCATTGCAACACCGCACTCTGGCTGTGTGGGACATGAAAGCACTTTGCGACTATCGCATTCGTCTTACCTCCAAAACCATGTTAGCCCTGTGGCCTAAAGATAGCTTAAAACCCACCAAACAGGGTATATTTTCAGAAAGCAGAGAGGAGACTTAGCGGTGACGTCATCATGCTCGCTGGAGCGCTTGATGTTTTGTATCTGATATGAATCTTCTTGAAGTTTAATGTTTGTCAGTATATAGCTTCGATTTTATCAATAAATTCATTGTGCATACTGTAGTATGAGTGATTCCTCTACTTGTTTTATATGATCCTGGTGATTGTTGTATACCAACTTGGCACTTATCTGACGGCGGAGCTATGAATGGGGCATAAAGTATCCATAGTGGAGATTGATTGCTGCTGAATGAACGAGCTTTTGGTTTATCCATCCCGGATTAGGTTTTTTCATCTAGCACTGTTTGACCTTGGTTGTAAGGTCTTTGGTTCTGGTAAGAAGCCTATATTTATGTGAGTGGCACGCACGATGGTGAAGATTTGAAGCACTAGTCACTTTATCTTGCGATTAGCTGCATGGATTGAACACGGTTTGTTTTACACCTTTGGGGGTTTGGACTTTAACATTTATTTATTGCATATTCATTTATTTTTTATGTATATATTTTTATGTATTTATAAATATTGTCATGAATTTTGTTTGTTTTGGTACTTTATTAGATTGTTTCTGTCACTTTTGAAATGATATGAACTTATTATTATGGATGATATTTACATTAGCACTTTATTTGATTCTAGGGGTGTTACATATATGGTTTTCCAACAGCACAACATATTTCAAAGATTGATTGAGTTTATGTTGTGGTGGGAATACACAGTGAGTTCAGCTGCTGGTTCTTTCACACATATCTTCATCTTTTTGATGTTTATCATTTGATATCAAATTTTGTTTTTTTTCACACACAGAGCGCAGTGTAGTAATTTCAAATATCCAATCCATTTGTATCCAGTTTGGCAGGCCCTTGTATTTTATACTTGTCAGTTGATCAGCCGGGGTTGTTTCCACCCGATGCAGTCAGGTGCGTTTTTAGGCTGCTTTCACACTGATCCGCTTTTAGTGCGTTCTTCAACTAAAAAAGTGGAAGAAAACTGCATCATTTTAAATCCTATGGCACTCTTCACACTGGTGCACTTCAGTTGTGGTGAAAAATTGTTTTATCGGTCATGCTGGAAAACCCACAAAAAATTGCTGTTTTTTCGTGGACATTGGTGGCAGCATCAGCAATGGGGGCCAACCGATTTTTCATTTACCGGCAAAAATTCAGCCAATAAACGGCCCGCCTATGACCTGCCTAAGGGACTGATGTCAATGTACAATGTATATGTAAAGAGCTACAGAAACTGACAGCACTATATAAGTGCCTGAAATAAATAAATCATTGCAGTGATTTCATGTGCATTTAACCGCCTCCCACCTGCCATATAAGGAAATGACGGGCACAAGGTGGTTCTCTTGTTCTGGGAGGACATCATATGACGTCCTCCCACTCTAACCACCAGGGGCGGACTGACAACTCATGGGGTCCCCGGGCAATAAGGGATCATGGGGCCCCGTGTCCTTGCCTAAACTCAAAAAAGTCTATGAAAAAAGTACTAGGGGCATCTCATGGGGCCCCCTACTGACCCCCGGGGCCTCAGGCAATGCCCGAGTTTCCAAATGGTCAGTCCGCCCCTGCTAACCACACGTGTGCGCCTCCGGGAGCATGCAGCGTGGTGTTTGGTGGTGCGCTGTGTCCGTGGGACTCAGCAGAAAGAGCCGAAGACGTTGGCTCTGTCCAGGGGCGGACTGACAACTCATGGGGCCCCTGGGCAATAGGGGATCATAAGGGCCGACGTGTCCTCGCCCACACCCAAAAAAGCCTATGAAAAAGCCAATGAAAGGTACCAGGGGCATCTCATGGGGCCCCCTACTGACCCCGGGCCCTCGGGCAGTGCCCAAGTGCTCGAATGGTCAGTCCGCCCTTGGCTCTGTCATGTGATCAGCTGTGTCCAATCACAGCTGATCGCATGTAAAAAAGGAAATGCCGGTTATTGGCATTCCTCTCCTCACAAGCTGTCACGCTGACAGCTCAAGAGGAGAGGAGAGCCGATAATCGGCATTCCTCGGAGGGGACATGTACACTGATCATCAGGGCACTGATGATCATTGCCACCTGTCAGTGTCCATCAATGCCACATATCCTAGATTGTAAGCTCCCAGGATCAGGCCCTCCTAACCCTCTTGTATTGAACTGTATTGTTGCTGTATTGTCTCCCATTATATTGTACAGTGCTGAGCAAAATGTTGGCGCAATATAAATCCTGTATAATATAATAATAATATCAGTGCCCATCACTGCAGCCTCATTAGCGCACATCAGTGAAGGAGAAAAATCACTTATTTACAAAATTTTATGACAGAAACTAAGAAAAAACTTTTTAAAAAAAAAATTTCAGTTGTTTTTGGTTTGTTTAGCAAAAAATAAAAAACCCAGAGGTGATTAAATACCACCAAAAGAAAGCTCTGTCTCAAAAAAATGATACAAAAAATGTCATATGGGTCCAGTGTTGCATGACCGTGCAATTGTCATTCAAACTGCGACAGCGCTGAAAGCTGAAAATCGGCCTAGGCAGGAAGGGGGTAAAAGTGCCCCGGTAGGCAAGTGGTTAAAGAAAAGTACAGCATGTTGCATTTTTCTGCACTGAAACACACCGCAAACGCAATTTAGTAAAGAAAATACATTGAAATAACTGAAAAAAAAAAATTGAAAAAAACACACCGCAGAGACATCTACACCACACTGCAAACATGCGCAAACGCACATACAGGAACGCAGAGATTGTGATGCAGATGGCAGCCCTAAGGCCCCGTCCATGAGTATCCCCCTACGCAAAGGTCGAAGGTCACGTGATTGTGCGTGTTGCATAGTGCCAGAACATTCCCTTGTCTCGGATGCTCTATGGTCGTCTCCTGAACAGAAGCTCCTGCTACTTTCTGAGCGCCATGCTTCCCACGATTTTCAAAGGTGCAGCTTGCCATGATTGCTGCACGATCCCGTCACACGACAATCGCTGCAGAAGCACATCCCATTCCGGGGCTATTGAAGGATAATTGTAACCAACTGCTAGTTGTGCATTTTGCAGCTTTTTCTATGCAATTGGGACGCACAGGCAGAATCAGAGTGAGTCTGTTCCTAATTGCAGAGTGTGAATGGGGACTGAAGGAGATTGTACAGATTGTATCATGTGTGCTGAGAATCAGATCTGCCAATAATACCTGACTGAATACACATAGGGTGCATTGGTTAACGAAATCGTCCAGCACCTAGTGTTGACATTGTATAGAGATCGTACAATCTGATTGTACTGTGTGTGTGATAGGAACAGACACTGCCACCAGCCCCATCACAAGACTCACACATCTCTACTGCCACCTGGCGGCACTACTTCACAGCACACACCTCATCAATAATCACGGTCATTGTCCGTTTAAATAAAGCTGCTGTATATTGATTCCTCCGCATAACGGGGCTGTGAAGGGGTGAGCTGATGCTTCTAAGAACAGCCCCCTGAGGATTGGGTCTAGCGTCACTGAGTCTAACCAACCAGCGCTAGGGGGTAGGGCCTTAGGCAGCTGGAGATTTGATAGGCCGGTGCAGTGACCAGTGAAGACGGGGGAAGTCTTTTGGGGGGCGTGTCGTGCGGCCGCAGTCCAGGAGGTTTTGGTGCTGATGCTCAGAGTAGGGTTGCCGGGCGGAAGGAGGGGATCAGAGTGGAGTCTAGAGCCGGGCCGGGAGTAGACAGGAGGGCGGGGCTATGTGATGGCAGTGCGGGGACAGGTGTGTGGGGAGATATAGGTCATGTGATCTGTATTGGATGCAGTGCAGTGTGTATAGTGTGCTCTCCCCCATTGTAGGTACACAGACTATACAGTGCATGGCCAGGCTACAGTGACTGTGTGCTGGAGTTCATAAAGGGATAGGAAGTCCATAGGAGGGTACAGCCATGGGATCCGGGGGAGAGCTCACCCCCTACACCTGGGAGGAGGTCCAGAAACGGTGCACCCGCGAGGAGCGATGGCTGGTCATCAACCGCAAAGTCTATGACATCACCAGATTCTGCCAGAGGCACCCAGGGGGGCCACGGGTCATCAGCACTACTACGCCGGCCAGGACGCCACGGTGAGCAGGGGGCGGGGGTTATAACAAGAATGGGGGGCGCTACCCAAAACTCCAGGGGCCCATTTCACCTTTGGGGAGAATAAAAAGAAGTGCACCTCAGTGCTGATTATATTATATTATAATTCTTTTTATTTATATAATTAATTATTTTTTCCATTTTTTTTTATTTGATCATTTATTGTATAATTTTTTATATATTTATTATAATTTTTTTTAGCTATTTATTTTTTTTTTAATGTACTTCATTTATTTTTATTTATTTCTACATATTTATTTTGTACCCACTTCTCTATTTTATTATTTTTACATATTTTTTTTAACATTTATTTTATTATTTTTATACATTTATTTTTTTAGACATTTATTTTATTGTTAATATAAATTTACTTCATGCATTTTATTTATTTCTACATATTTATTTTGTATCCATTTCTCTATTTTTATTATTTTTTTCATATTTATTTTTTTATCCATTTATTATATTACTTTTATCCATTTATTTTTTTAGCCATTTATTTATTTTATTTTTAATATAAATTTGCTTTATTTGTTAATTCATTTATTTTTACATATTTATTTTGTATCTATTTATTTATTTTATTCTTTTTACACATTTAGTTTGTAGCCATTTATTTATTTTTTATTTATTTTTACACATTTATTTTGTATCCACTTCTCTATTTTATTATTTTTACATATTTATTTTTATAACCATTTATTTATTATATTTTTTTTTATCCATTTATTTTTTTAGCCATTTATTTATTTTATTTTTAATATAAATTTGGTTTATTTTTTAATTCATTTATTTTTACATATTTATTTTGTATCCATTTATTATTTTTACACATTTATTTTGTAGCCATTTATTTATTTTATTATTTTTACACATTTAAATTTTTGTAGCCATTTATTTTATTATTTTTACACATTTATTTTTTATTATTTTTATACATTTATTTTTTTAGACATTTATTTTATTGTTAATATAAATTTACTTCATGCATTTTATTTATTTCTACATATTTATTTGTATCCATTTCTCTATTTTATTATTTTTTCATATTTATTTTTTTATCCATTTATTATATTTTTTTTATCCATTTATTTTTTTTTTATTTATTTTATTTTTAATATAAATTTGCTTTATTTGTTAATTCATTTATTTTTACATTTTTTTTGTATCTATTTATTTATTTTTTATTTTTTTACACATTTAGTTTGTAGCCATTTATTTATTTTATTATTTTTACACATTTATTTTTATCCACTTCTTATTAATTTTATTATTTTTACATATTTTTTTTTTATAACCATTTATTTATTATATTATTTTTATAAAAATTTATTTTTTTAGCCATTTATTTATTTTATTTTTAATATAAATTTGGTTTATTTTTTAATTCATTTTATTTTTTAATATTTATTTTGTATCCATTTATTTTTTTTTTTTACAACATTTATTTTGTAGCCATTTATTTATTTTATTATTTTTTTAAAAAACATTTATTTTGTAGCCATTTATTTTATTATTTTTTTACACAAAAAAAATTTTATTATTTTTATACATTTATTTTTTTAGACATTTATTTTTTAAAAATATAAAAAACTTCATGCATTTTATTTATTTCTAAAAAAAAAAAATATTTATTTTGTATCCATTTAAAATTTTATTAAAAATATTAAAATTTTTTTAAAATTTATTATATTACTTTTATCCATTTATTTTTTTAGCCATTTATTTATTTTTTTTTTTAATATAAATTTGCTTTATTTTTTAAAAATTTATTTTTTACATATTTATTTTGTATCTATTTATTTTTATTAAAAAATTCTTTTTACACATTTAGTTTGTAGCCATTTATTTATTTTAATTTTTTTAACAAATTTTGTATCCACTTCTCTATTTTATTATTTTTACATATTTATTTTTATAAAATTTATTTATTATAAAAATTTTTATCCATTTTTTAAAAAAATCCAAAATTTATTTTAAAAATAAATTTGGTTTATTTTTTAATTCATTTTTTTTTAAACATTTTATTTTGTATCCATTTATTATTTTTACACATTTTTTTTGTAGCCATTTATTTATTTTATTATTTTTACAATTTATTTTGTAGCCATTTATTAAATTAAAAAAAACATTTATTTTGAAGCCATTTTATTTAATTTTATTATTTTTATCCCTTTATTTTTTATCCATTTATTTATTTTAATATTTTAACGTATTTTTTTTTTTTTTTAATTCATTCAGTCAAATATATATTTATTTTATTATTGTTTATATTTTTATATAAAAAAAAAAAAAAAATCTTTATTTTTTTATTCATTCATGTATTTGTTATTTCTAAAAAAATTTTATTTGATTATATTACAGTTCTGCTCGTCTCTAATGTGTATCTGTAGGTTTTTTTTTTAGTGTTGGGTAGAGCAGGGGGAAGGTTAACCCTCTGCTCGGTATTTATTGCTGTCTGTGTCCTCAGTGGGGAGAGTCGGTTTCTATTTGTACCGGTGACCCGTCACAGAAAAGAAAAGTGAAGGGAACTCTAACATTCAAAGAGGCGGTAAAGGGAAATCTTCCAATGGGGACCGGTGTCTAAAGGTGACCATGTGCTATAAAATCTGATTGTACAATCTGGCCTTTAGCTCTGCCATCCACTATGTAGTACAAGGGCCCATCAGATTTGATGCAGATTTAAAAGGATTGTGTGGATGTGTCCTCCTTTTACATTGTTTTGGTAAATCAAAGAAGACCGTACAGAGATTAAAAATATTATATGGCCAGCTTATGGCTCACCATACATGTTACAATCAACCTTACTTCCCCCTGATCTGTATAATATGAAGATCTACCTTACCTATGCAATCAATTTGTATCCAATCAGCAAGCTCTTGTATTGCATACGTGTCAAAGTAGATCTAAAGGAGATTGTACAATCGAATTGTACAATGTTTGGTGAGCGTAAAAACTGGCCATACACTGTACAATCTAATGTTACAATTTCTGTACAATCTCCTTTAGATTTACCCAAACTATCTAATATGAGGACTAAAACCTAAAAAATACTGTTAATTTTGTATCCAATTAATCTTGTCGTCATACTACATAGTTAATGATTAGATTTGAAGCCGATTGTAGTCAGATTGTACAGTGAATGACCAATTTATGGGTAAAAACGTACACGCTAACATATGATTGTACAATCTCCTTTAGAAAAAACCAAAACTAAAAATACGAGGACACATTAAAAAAAAGCATTCCATCCAATTTGTAGCCAATCAGGCAGGCACTTGTAAAAAAATAGTTGATGGTAGATCTGAAGCAGATTTACAATCAAAAATAGTGTATTGTCACCTTAAAAAAACACACACTGCAATCCGATTGTACAATCCCTGTTACGAAAGTTTGTAAAAAAAGGACAGACCTATATAATCCAATAAAATTCTATCCAGGTGCACAGGTCCTTATATTCTGGAGTTGATGCTAGATCTAACCCCAGGTTCACACCTAAGCGTTTTTGCGCATCGTTTTGCAGAAAAAAAACTACAATCCATAAAAAACATGATTTGCTATGGGACACATTCACGTAAAAAAAAACGTTTTTTCACCCGGTGTGTTTACAAAAAAAAAGGGTCAGGAAGTTTTTTTTGAACGCAAAAGGAAAAAAAAAAAAAATTCTATAGACTTTAATGGAGACGCTGCAGAAAAGCATGTAGTGCGTTTTTACTGCGTTTGTGCTGTTTTTGCGTTTTAAATCTGCCTAGCAACAAAAAAAATGTTTTAAAAAAAAAAAAAAAAAAAGCAAAAACGCAATGCAAAAAAAAAGGGTCAAACGCAACCTGCAAAAAAAAAAACCTAGCCTAAAGGAGATTGTACAATCAGATTGTATTGTTATTAAATATAACTCCACAAAAAAAAAGGCAGTATTGTAAAAAAAAATCTAAAAAAAAAAAAAAAAAAAAATAAAATAAAAAAACTGCCAGAGAGAAAACAATGAATATAAATCCATCGGGACCAAAAAAGGACCATAAAATCCACATCGTCTGAGGTCGTGGACCAAAAGATCCACATCGTCTGAGGTCGTGGACCATAAGATCCAAAAATGTCTGAGGTCGTGGACCATAAGTTCCACATCATCTGAGGTCGTGGACCATAAGTTCCACATCATCTGAGGTCGTGGACCATAAGTTCCACATCGTCTGAGGTCGTGGACCATAAGTTCCACATCGTCTGAGGTCGTGGACCATAAGTTCCACATCGTCTGAGGTCGTGGACCATAAGTTCCAAAAAAATCGTCTGAGGTCGTGGACCATAAGTTCCACATCGTCTGAGGTCGTGGACCATAAGTTCCACATCGTCTGAGGTCGTGGACCATAAGTTCCACATCGTCTGAAGTCGGGGACCATAAGATCCACAATGTCTGAAAAAACCATAAGATCCACATCGTCTGAGGTCGTGGACCATAAGATCCACAATGTCTGAGGTCGTGGACCATAAGATCCACAATGTCTGAGGTCGTGGACCATAAGATCCACATCGTCTGAGGTCGTGGACCATAAAATCCACAATGTCTGAAAAAAAAAACCATAAGATCCAATCGTCTGAGGTGGTGGACCATAAGAAAAACATCGTCTGAGGTGGGTGGACCATAAGAAAAACAATGTCTGAAAAAAAAAACCAAAGGTCCACATCGTCTGAAAAATGGACCATAAGATCCACAATGTCTGAGGTCGTGGAAAATAAAAAAACATCGTCTGAGGTTGTGGACCATAAGGTCCACATCGTCTGAAAAAATGGACCATAAGATCCACAATGTCTGAGGTCGTGGACCATAAGGTCCACAATGTCTGAGGTCGTGGACCATAAAAAAAACAATGTCAGAGGTCGTGGACCATAAGGTCCACAATGTCAGAGGTCGTGGACCATAAGGTCCACAATGTCTGAGGTCGTGGACCATAAGGTCCACAATGTCTGAGGTCGTGGACCATAAGGTCCA